TTTTTAGTACATCGCTGTCATGTAAACGTACCGTAATCTTTAAACCAAGCTAAATACAGACCAACACTCATGTCTTCTGTGAATGCCCTGGTGTAATTGATGGTTTTACACGTGTACTTACTGTCTTTCGAAATTTTCCACTTGATCACACCACCTGATGCATAATTAAAGATTAGCTTTCACTTTTCATCACACCTCAGGAAAGAAACATGAGATAACATGTTTATATGCATAGAGTCAGTAATAAAAATATATATTACTTTTTGTATATTGTTTTGTATATTTTTATATTGTCCTTTTTTTTCTCATGACAGTTTAGGCTTGGAGGGAGCACGTTGTGTTTGTGTAACTGAATGTGTAACTATATTCTGACTGTTTTTGCATTGTATATTTGATCCCTGGCTACATGAGCCAAGACTCCCATAGGGCTGAAGGTGTGTGTGTGTGTGTGTGTGTGTGTGTGTGTGTGTGGATCCGTTAGGGATTATTTCAGTTCAGTCCCGCTTTGAAATTCAGTTCCTGGTAGGGCAGTTGTGGAATGTGGACTGAGATTACCTGGGCTGTATTGACTTAATGCACTGTGTGTGTGTGTGTGGATCTGAAGCATTCTCAAGGTTATGTCAAAAGGAGGGGAATATCTGGTGATTCTGGAGTGTGTGTGTGTGTGTGTGTGTGTGTAAGAAGGTCAGTTGTTGGCTGGCAATGAGAGGCCTGAAAGGCTGTTTAGGTTAGAGAGCAGAAGAGTTTGTTTTTGTTTAAATTCGATTAAAGCCTTGGAGCCTTTTGAGCCTCTCGGCAAAGGAAGTTTGGAACACACATGCACACGCAGGCAGCATGTCTTTGTCTATTATACAAATGTGCAAGTAGGTACTTGCACAAAATAATATAATTTGCAACACACATTGTATTTGTATATCATAACTAATTGCACTCCATCTCTTACATCCTGATCAAACAAACGATTTCTTCCCCCTCAATCCAACAGTAGTTTATTAGCTGAGTCTTGATTGATATGTGAGATTTGCAGCTTTGCCTTTCCATTAAGCGATAAGAGGTTATAAGGCTAACATACTGCTGAAGTCATAAGTTTACATGCGCTTTGCAGAAACTGCAAAATGTTCAACGTTTTTTTATTTAGTTCTGCCCTGAATGAGCCTTTTCACATTACAGATGTTTACATATAGTTTACAAGATGCAATAATATGTGCACAGTTTCTTCGCGTATCCCAGCATGTTAAGAAGTTGGGGTCAAAGTGCAGGGTCAGCCATGATAGAGTGCCCCCTGGAGCAGAGAGGGTTAACGGCCTTGCTCAAGGGCCCAACAGTGGCAGCTTGCTGGTGCTGGGACTTGAACTCCAGACCCCCTGATCAGTAACACAGAGCCTTAACCGCTAAGCCACCACTACCCACTACCACCACTTTAGTCTCCCTTTGCTGTTATAATGACCTCCACTCTACTGGGAAGGCTTTCCATTAGATTTTGGAGGATGGGCGGGGGGATTTGTGTTCATTCAGCCGCAAGAGCGTTAAAGATATCAGGCAGTGATGTTGAGTGAGGAGGTCTGGGGTGCAGTCGGCGTTCCAGTTCATCCCAAAGATGCTCAGTGGGGTTGAGGTCAGGGCTCGGTGCAGGACACTCGAGTTCTTCTACTCCAACCTTGACATACCATGTCTCCATGGAGCTTGTTTTGTGCACGGGGGCGTCGTCATGCTGGGACAGGATTGGGTCTCTTCGTTCTAGTGAAGGGAAATTGTCAGGTTACAGCATATAAAGACATTTTACACAATTTATACAATCGTGTGCTTCCAGGTTTGTGGCAACAGTTTGGGGAGGAACCACAAATGAGTATGGTGGTCAGGGGTCCACACAGTTTTGGCCATATCGTGCACATTTTCATTGGTTCTGTTTAAAAACCATGGGGATGACAGCGTTTGTGTTCAGTAGGGTATTAATGTGTGGAGGGGGGATTTGAGGGCAATAATCGATTGTAGAAACGTGCAGTGCACTTTGAAGGGTACGCCAGTTAGACTGCTGCGTCTCTGTTACTGATTAGCGTAGCTTCAGATAAACCCTGATAAGCTTGTTTGGAAGAAGCGAGATGGCAAAAGATCCAAGGTTAATGCTCAGGGCTGTAAACAGATACAGATTCCTAGCTGCGTTTTTTTATTTCATTTTTTTATTTAAATTATTTTTTTAATAGCACAGTGAATGGGGTTGAGACTAAGCTGGACCTCCTGTCTACTCAACCCTACACTAGCGTATCTGATCCAACCCCCCCAAGAATATAACCCCAACAGGATGTAAATTTCAGCTGGGACTATTTTCAGAGCTGCTGTTCTAGAACATTTAATAAATATAATCTAAAATAATATAATATGTGAGAATCCGACAGCAATTAAGCATCTGGACAAGAAGTGTCACATCATTGGTCCAAGAAATGTATAGTACTTAATGCTTTATAAAATGGAACAAATCACATGCTTCCAAAAGTAAGAGTGGGGAAAATATGCCAAAAAACATGATGTCATGATGATATTTAAAGACCCGATTTATATACTTGCTGTTTTAGGCGTGTCTGCGTTATAAAATTCTGCTATCTGTAATTGAGGCTGTGACGTTCTAGACAGACAACCCATACAGAGCTCAGTTGTGTACGAACAAGTAGAGTGTGTTTACACCAATAGTACCAGTGTATCGTGGGTGGTTTTGTTTCTTTGCGTGTAAACCTGCATGGCCAGATTGCTCCGTTTATACATTGACAAACACGCCAGCTGGGACATGTTCATTTTCTCTTACACACACACACACACACACACACACACACACACATTCTCTTTATTTACGACGTGCCAGTAGTCAGCTATTGGGATGAAAGTCTTGTTTTATTTGTCCTTTTCTTACGACGAAAAGCTTGTCTCTTATTGTTCTGTTCGTTTCCGCTAGAGTACTATCTAGCATTTTGCTAAGAACAATGGTTATTTTATTGTTTTGTTTCTGTTGCTTTAAACAGACACACCACGAGTCAAAAGTTTGGACACACCTGCTCATAGGTTTTTTCAATTTATTTTATTTTGTACGGTTTTAGGATAATAATGAAAACTTTAAGGCTTTTTATATTTTTGTAATAGTTGTGTTGAACAAACCAAAACTATTTTACGTTCTTTATTCCAAACATAATACATGAAATAGTTTTGATATGTTTTAACACTTCTCATGGTTGTGTTAAATGTTCTTATGATGAACAATGCTCCTGATGAAGCTCTGAACACTCCGATCGCCTCACGAGGAGCTTCACCAAGTCCACAAATAGTCCGAGCTCCTTGCTGCTTCTCTCAGGAGGCTTTCACACTGGCAGATTAGTCCGGAACAGAGCGCGGTTTGTGTGAAAAATGGGTAATGTGAACGCTGTCATCCGTACCAGGACGCGCACCGCGTGTACAGAACCCGAGACCAGCTGTAGGTGGTGGTCTGAATTGTGATGCACTGGAACTGTGCTGAGATTCCTGCCAATGTGAACGCAACTCGTGTGTATGTATTTTAGACGGTGATGACATCATTCGTTTCAACAACGCGCGTGTACCATGAGTGGTTGGGGAACGCTGTGGGACACAGAAGAGGTCCACTGCTACACATTAGGGATGTCAATTTACACAAATTCCCATGATCGAATGCCATTTAATTTAATCATCGATTAATCGTTAAGCTTTAGATTCGTCTACCACAGTGCAAGATTCGTCCAGTGCAAGATTTGTCCACTACAGTGCAAATTCGTCCACTACGGTGCAAGATTCGTCTAGTGCAAGATTCGTCTACTACAGTGCACGATTCGTCTACTGCAAGAATTGTCTACAAGATTTGTCTGCCACAGTGCAAGATTCGTCTACTACACAATTCGTCTACTACACAATTCGTCTACTACACAATTCGTCTACTGCAAGATTCGTCTACAAGTTTAATATACTACAGTGCAAGTTTTGTCTACACGGTTTGTCTACTACACGATTTGTCTATTCCACCACTTACTTCCAGTGCTTACTCAAGATGAATGAATTTATACATGTGATTACCATCACTATTTCCAATTGTCTTAGATACCAATTTCAATCATAAGCCTTTTATCAAAATGCCAATTGATCATCTAATCACAAGCAGTTCTGGCATCAGATATTGGCTATCCAATCAGGAGTCTTCCTGCTTCAAAATGATCTAACTTTCCATATGGAGAGAAAGCATCTCTCTGTAAGTAAAAGGCATATGACCGTTGACCTCTTCTCTTTAGCAAATATGAAGTGGTTGGTAGGAGTAAAGACCGGAGAAACAAATCCAAGAATATTTTGTAGTACTGCTTCCAGACTCTCTCTCTCTCTCTCTCTCTCAGAATATTATACAGACATGTGACTTGAATTAGAGCTGGAATTCTTTTCAGAGCCACTGTTAGAAAATTAATCTACACCTTCTCACCAATCAGACTGGAGAATTCAACAGCACTGTGGTTTAAGGATCTGGAGGACACTGGACAAGCAGGGTCACATAGTTAGTCCAAGAACTGTAAAGTACTTAATTACTCGTAAAAATAGAGAAAATCGCATGCTTCTGTAAGTAATAGTGAGGAAATGTGGAAAACATTTAAATACAATATATTCTATTTGAATACTTTTCTTATATATGAAGATTTAGAATAAAGTGTTCTATGCTATCCTGTATAACAGTCAATAAAGCTCTTAATATCTACTCAGATGTTCAGTGTTCTGCTGGGTGTCCCAAAAGTCTCTGTACACAGGGGAAATGAACACTGTGTAGCAAAATGTCTTACAAAACTTTTCATATTTAGTATATATAGATAGATAGATAGATAGATAGATAGATAGATAATTTTCAGATAGCCTTTAAGAATGCTTTTACAGCAGACATCCTTATCTAGAGCGACAGACATTTATCTCCTTTATACAACTAAGCCGAGGGTTAAGAGCCTTACTCCAGGGCCCAACAGTGGCCACTTGGCAGTGCTTGGATTTGAACTCATGACCTTCTGATCGGTAGACCAACATCTCTACCACCTGAGCTACCACTGAGCTTTTTGACAAAAGAAGAACATATTGAAATCATTCTCACAGCTGGATCGGGAAGCTGTCGCAAGGTTGCGATAAACTTTAACAGGAAACCTGGACATCACACACACTGTTGCCAAATTTAATTAACAGATTCAAAAAGACTGGAAGTGTTGTGGTCCGACCGAGACCTGGATGTCCACAAACATCCACTGATGAAACATGGTGCTGGCAAACATGGTTGCCTGTTTATGGAAACTTTTGGGACTTTTATTTATATATATAATATATATATATATATATATATATATATATATATATATATATATATATAGATATATATATATATATATATATATATATATATATATATATATATATATATATATAGATATATATAGATATGTAAATATATATATGGGACTTTTTATATAGATAGATAGATAGATAGATAGATAGATAGATAAAAAATAGATAGATATAGATGTAGGTCACTTATCCATAAGTTTCACTGCCTTGGTTACCTGTTGCTTTATTGCTGCTCATGTGAATGTAGTGTTTTCTCTAGTTTTATGTGTTGTAACAGGTTAAATGAACGTTAAATGAGTGTTTATGCGTAACCTGTCATCTCACTGGGTGTAACTAAGACTCCCTCTCTACAAACCTGTTTTTGATTCATCTGTCTGTGTGAGATTGTACGTGTGTTTACCTGAGTCAGCAGACTCACCTGTCTACATTACCAGTATGTCCAGGAAGAATTTCTGATGGTGAAGCTGTAGATTAAGGGTGTTCCCTAAATACTAGTAGTTGACTGAAGTTCTTCTAATTAGCTCTGAAAATTAATAGGCATTGAGAATTAATTAATTAAATTTTTTTTTTTTTTTGGGAGAGATCAATAACGTCACGTTAAACGCCACTGGAAAACATTGCACTGTTGTAGTCTGTTTAGTTATAAACACTAAATTTATGCTGAGAATAAGGCTTCTAGGTACAAATGTTTGAGACATCAGAGCTTATGTTAACCTTTTAATTTATTCTACAATCATTGGAAACTTAGATTTGTAATACAGCAGCCTGTACAGTATACACTAGATGGCCAAAAGTAGGGGTCTGAATATGACACCAATATGTGGTTCTTCCCCAAACTGTTGGCACAAAGTTGGAAGCACACGATTGTATCAAATGTCTTTTTATGCTGTAGCATTACAGTTTCCCTTCCCTGGAACTAAGAGGCCCAAACATGTTCCAGCATAGCAACGCCCCTGTGCACGAAACAAGCTACATGAAGACATGGTTTGCCAAGTTTGGAGTGGAAGAACTCGAATGTTCAGCACAGAGCCCTGACCTCAACCTGAACACCTTTGGGATGAACTGGAACACCGACTGCACCCCAGGTCTCTTCAGTAGCTGACCTCACTAATGCTCTCATAGCTGTATGAACACACATCCTTCCAGCCACACTCCAAAATCTAGTGGAAAACCTTCCCAGAAGAGTGGAGCGCATTATAACCGCAAAGGGGGAATAAATCTGGAATGGCATCTTCAACAAGAACATATGGGTGTGATGGTCAGGTGTCTACAAACATTTGGCCATATAGTGTATCTGTATAAATAGTCTCTCATGTCTCTGGTCTTGTATACATATTTGTACAGTAGGTCTTTATTCTGGGCGACACATTTGGAGTCAGTTATTGAATCACGCTAAAGGCGAACACTTGACAAATTTCTGAATAATTGTTAAACATATGTTTGATTTGCATCAAGCTCAGCAGCGAGGCGTTAATTTTAACCAGTGTATGTTCCGTGCAGCGGTGCAAATGGAAGGCAGGTGGTCGCTACACTACGGGTCTGCTTTGAATTCCAGATATATATATATATTGAGTAGTAGGTACTACGGGTTGTTTCAATATTATTATTTTTTTAAGTTCACACATGCCGAATGAAAAGAGGCAGTCTTGAAGTCTTGAGGCTGATACCTGATAGGGGTGTTTCTCAAAATGGGTATTTTTCTGGTGAGGTTACTTAGAATTTCCATCAGAACTTTTTGTTTTTTAAGAAAATAAGCCACAATGTAAGTACAGATCCAGAAAGCCTAGGGTTATGATGTTGTGGTTTAACACGTTTATTTCTTGTCGCAGATTCTGGAGCAGGACCAGAGCTCTCTGCAGAGGATGAAGAAGATGGTGAAGGGCATCCACAGCTCTGGTCTCAGTGAGTGTTTGCGTTGATTTATTTTTTTTATATATGTGTATGTATGTATATCAACACACAGTACTGATTTAATCATGTCACGTTACAGAGGAAACCGCTATGGCAACTCTGTGTGAATAAGATAGATGTTGCATGGAAAGTTATAAAATGAACAGAATGAGAAGAATGTCGTGCAAATCTAATTCCTAAGTACCACCCGTGTTAAATTTGTGACCGACGTGAGAATTTAGCCATTAAATTGGTGTTCGCATTAAATTTAAGGCCAACACCAAAGTAGTAATAAGCAATGCAATGCATGGGGTCATTCCCCCGCCACCAGCCTCATTACACAAGGGTAAGCTTATAGTAATGATTTATAAGTTGAGCTGTCGGGTCGGATTTCACGGAAAACCTCAGTTTGATGTCATTTGCGTGGTTACATAACGTCCGTAAACAGAAAGAAGAAGAGCCGGCTACTATATCGCGTGTGTGGGAGCTGAGGATGGTGGAGTGTTTCTATCTTGTTCTTTTTTTTTCTTCCTTCTGTTGAACAGGTCCGACATTTCAATGGCTCAAAAGATAGCTAACATTCGTGCACTTGTTCAGTTGATTCAGCTAGGTATCGAGATTCCTATGTAGATGGGGGGTTTTGTTTTGATTAAATAAAACAACGCAGTTTTTTTTTTCTTTCTTTCTTTTTCTAGCGACTTCAGAAAACACGAAGCCCACGGGCACGTATTATATGCGGACTTGGCAGACATAAGTATTCCTCAAACCATCAGATTCATGTGCGCAGAGGGGAAGTGCGGAAGCACAACCTATGTAAAAAAAAAAACAACAAAAAAACAACCCGGGGGAGTAACTTGCAGTTTTACATTTCAAACAGAGATGGCGATAGAGAGGCAACCGTTCAGCATGTTTATTATTTGTCCCTGTGTTAGTTGTTGTTATAGAAATTATCATTTATAGAACAAGCTCATTTTCATAGGCCTGTTATTTGAATTGCAGCCGGAACTACTTTCAGAGCTGCTGTTACAGAAAATGATCAAATATAGCAAATCAGAATAGAGAATAAAATTCAATTAAATTCTGCATGCTGGTGTCCGCATCTGTACACAGACTGCGTGAATGATCTCCAACCTGAGAGTCTTGACACCTTTCTGGCTTTTCCTCCTTTCTTTTTTATCCCTCTTTTAAACATGACGACTCCCTGTACAAATATGGGAACTGCCCACTAGAGCTGCCAGCTATGTAAACTTTCTCAATCCGGGAACTTCATTAAGAATAAACGGCCGTATCTCTCTGTCCCTGACCTGTGTGATGTGTGTTTCTGGGAAATGAATCGTTAACGGTCAGAAATTCTTCACAATTGGGAAGCAGATATATTATATGAGTCACAATGCTACAGCTTGGCTGTAGACCCCTATACACCCCCCCCCCCTTTATCACATACCCACTTTTTATTATTTTCCCCCCTCATTTCCCCCTCTTCCCTAACCAAACTCAGATGGTTTATTCCGGTAAAGGCACCGTGCTCAGGGAGGCCCTAGTTTCCTGGCCTCATTTGGGTCTAATCCTCCCTCAGGGTATCTGATGAAGCTCTGAATCACCTCCTTTCTCTTTCCAACTTCTCCCTGTATTTAAGCCACATTTATCATTCACTGCGCTGTCTGTGTGAGAAACAGGTCATGACCCCGGTGAAGTTTAACTCATGCAAGTGTTTAGAATGTTTTGTTGAGGTGTACCTGTGATATACGACTGGGGTCAGAGGTCAGTGCATAACTATTACTAAACACAGTCATGTAATGCATATATTCGTATCAGTGCTGTGTGAAAAGAAAAAAAAGTATATTTATGTACTTTTATCTGCTCTGAATGTTTTTTATTTTTTGTTTTTTTTTAGCCCTTGTTAAAAGGGTGGGGAACTCGCGACTCACGTAATGCCACGTAATTGCCCTTTACAATCCTGCTGCTGTAAAACATGTCTTATGCCTTGATAGTTCATAAACAAGAGCTGAACTTTTCACACGTGGCAGACAGGTTAATGACGGTTTCCTGTCCTGCACCCATATCAGCAATTCAGAAACGTTCCATACATTTTTTTTAATTTTCTTTTATGCCGTTGCCAAGGCAGGTTTGTGCCATTTTAATAGTGCTGCAGGGATGATGTATTTTTGTAGGCCAACCCAGAGGTTAGCGTCCCCCTGGTTCCCTCGTTTTTCCATTGGCTTTTAGATTATTGCAGACAATAAGCTCTGTGACCAACAAAAGTTTATGATTCTTACATGTTTTTTTTCATCCAGATAATCTTCACAACTGAACACAGTTTAATGAATTTTTTAAAAGCCTGAATACAATCGCCAGAAGTAAAAAATAAAAATCGTTATGCTACTAACGGACCACACCACTGCACTTCCGACAACTCTTCCGATCTTTAATTTAAAAAACACTACAATTGGAAAATCCTATAAATTGATCAAGCTGCAAGTTGCAAGGTTCAAGTTGGAATAGTTTGAAAGAGGGCGAGTATAAACAGAACGAGGCGGTAGTAGATGAATTTTCCTGTTCGCCGTGACGACGTTTAATGTCCCCGACAACTTCTGTAGTACCGTTTAGCCACTCGTTAGCAACCGCCTTTTTCAAGACACGTTAAAGCTTTAAGAAATATCACCAGTGGGGTGTTTCTGATGTATTTTATGCCGTAGAATAAATCGTGAACGTATCTTGAGCTTGTGTTAACGATAGACCTTATTTCAGGAATTTTTTATGAAAAACCTGTTTTAAAAAAAAAAACCCCACTGACGATGAACCGGAAGTGCTAAAATTCTAACTCC